ACTGTGTAACTGTGGTTGGGGTGAGCATTGAATCCTTAGCTGGCAAGTAAGTAGCCTCATTTCGAAAGCAGCAGCAGATGGCATGTACAAACTGGACCACAATGGACCATAGTGACATAGACAAGACTTGATTGCTGTCAAGACTCCCTTGCAGGCAAGAGAAGAGAAGGAGCAACAAGAACGAGAGGAATTTGAAAAGTGCGCTTCCAAGGGGATGCGACGGGTGTCAGGTGACGATTGCATGTTATACTCGTCACGTCATGTCACGTCTCCCGAGAAGCAGAAGAATGCGCAAGGCTTTAGAAGTAGGAAGTGTTTGATGTCCTTTCGCAGATTTTCGCAGCATGCTGACAGGAGCATGGCCCAGCATGGTCTGAACCAAACAAGACCGTGCCACTTCTGATCCAGCTCCCTTGCAGGTGGAAAGAAATGTTCGCAGTGGAAGCAGAGGGCGAGGACTCAGTTACAGTGTATTTTAAGCAAACCACACTAATCCACGCTATGCTACGCTATGGGTTTTGACATGCTTTGAACACTTTCAGGCGAGTGGCTTTGACAGTAGGGTCCGGAAGTTTGCTGATTTGATCTTATTTCTATCAGTTTTGTATAGCTCTCACCAACATCCATTGTTTATATTATATATTGTTTGCCTTCTATCGTCTTGGCCAGTTCTACTGACCCAGCTTTGCTGCTTTGAGCTGCAAAGTGACCAAAAAGATCCAAAAAGGATGATGGCTCGATTGGAGATTCCGCAGTCGAAAGGCCCGCGCCAGGGGAGACATCTGGAAACATCTGGAAACTGCAAAGATCTTGGGAACAGAAATACAGAGCTTTGCAAAGCGCAGACATGCGCAGACATACACGAAACAGAAAGCAGGATCCTAAGGATTTGGGATGTCAGAGTAGAGAAGTTTTTGGAGAGAATCAAAAGGACAGGCATGAGTGCATTGCTGCATGGCTCTTGTCAGCAGACTAAAGTATTGCTGTTCTGATGTGGTTTTGAACATCCTCCTTTGCAAGATAATTTCCCCGTAGAGTTTTACGTTGACATCGGATCTAAGCATAGCTTTGTCAGGTTTATCGACTATGTGAAGCTCAGGAAAGTGGTCAATTTGGAGGCAAGGAATGGCAAGGATCACTTGTTACTTCCCATGTTGTCACGTGCCAACCCCGAGCTCCAATTTGCCTGCCATTTAAACCCGAGTTAAAGATAGTTAAAATTCAAAATATAAAAAATCGTGTCCTGGGCTGCCAGTAGGACGAACCAGAGTATGATGAGTCAATGATGAGTCAATGATGAGTCAATGATGAGTCAATGATGAGTATGGAAGTTGGCGAAAAGCACCGGGTATTCTCCGGCATGGTCACCAGAAAATCCAGAAAGCATCAGGTCGTTATTTTGTTTGTCATTTTCTTTCATATGTGTTCCTCTTGAAACATTTGAAACCAACTTATCTATTGACCACAGCAACTGCCAAATGCAGTACTGCTACACTGGTCATAGACTTCGCAGCCATGTCAGTCTTGAGCCTTGGTGAAGGAGACCCCTTAGTTTCATCATGTTTGGATACGGTGGTCCCATAGTTGCCCAGATGTCCATGCGGCCATGTGGCCATGTCGCCTTCCATGGTCACACGTTTGTTCAACTTTCTGGTCAAAACCAAGAAACAACTATGCATCTCAGCGACAGGACTTGGCGGCTGAGTTCCGCATGAGGACTGTAAATGCCATCAAACGTTTGGAGGAGCTGGAAAAGATGGGCTTGGGACGCCCAGAACATCACAGACTGCAGATGACTGCAGTGCAAGAAATTATCTTTGCCAGAAATTGGCCTTCTCTTTGTTTTTATCTGTGCTCTTCTTTGATATTATTTGACAATCATTGGAGACCTGTACTGGACTGGACGGAGAAAGCGTACGAAGCAGCAACAATTTGACTTGATTTTAGGAAGGCTTCAAAAGCTGATGCAACAGAGCGTTTCGAGAGGGTGGAAATCGAGACGCGAGAACTGCTCTGAAGCCCCAAGGACGTCTCAGTGGCATATTTGATGACAGGGGCAAGTACATCTATATCACAGCGGAGGAGAATCACATAGCATGTCACAACATGTCACAACATGTCACAACGTAGCATGTCACAACCTGAGTCAGAAGGACACCATTTCGAAATCGATTGGAATCACCTGCTTGGCAGTGTTGTGAGCTGAGCCCGGTGAGCCCTTCCTCAAAAGTTGGAAATGGATGGAACATGATGGAACCTGTTTCTCTCTGTTTCTCTCTGTTTCTCTCTGTTTCTCTCTGTTTCTCTCTGTTTCTCTCAAGATCTCAGTTCGTATCCACCTTCAGATCACGCCTTAGCGATCCTTAGCGCAGGTAATATTCCAGTTGTTTCATTCTATTTCCATGCAGAATTGATTTCCAGAAAAAACGACACTTTCCTGTCAGTTAAAGGGACTTTACCAGTTAAAGGGACTTTACGAAATTTACTGTCTCAGGTTCTAACGGGGATTGCGTTGATCTTAAATCTACTCCATACATCTCCATACATCTTCATACATCTCCATACATCTTCATACATCTCCATACATCTTCATACATCTCCATACATCTTCATACATCTCCATACATCTTCATACATCTCCATACATCTTCATACATCTCCATACATCTCCATACATCTCCATACATCTCCATACATCTCCATACATCTCCATACATCTCCATACCACATGATGAGAAAGCGATGAGATACGTCAGTAGTGCCTGTGCCAGTATACTCTGTGCCCTGTAACATACTGCAACTACTGTAGTCTAACTTTATGATTCCTGCTATATTTTGCTTAACCGATTTATGTTGCCGTCTACCTGTCTACCTGTGCATTCCCACACTTCGAGTTTCTATGGTTTCTCTTGTGCATTTGCTGTTCAATTTTCTGAATGCCCCAAGCACCTGAGCAAACGCAGGAGATGGCAGCAGTAGCTGAATGGCTAAAGAAAAAAGGAAGAATAAATCGTGCCGTACCTACCTCAGCTGATTGGCGAGCACACCTGTGACCTATGGGGTTTCACAGCTGGGATCACAAAAGAAGTTAAATGAAGTCAATGAATTCAAGATGGTCGCAAGACGAGCCACAGAAAGATGGACCTGCAGTCTGATACCCTTTTCGTTGGAAGACAATGATATATACGTACATATATATATATATGCATAATTATATATATAGTTATGACATATTATAACATATTGAGAGATGTGAACGCCTATTTGATAGAAAGTCTCAAGACAGCCTTCTGGCTTCGTTACCTTCCTCACGTCTTCTCCATGACCTGCCCGGCCTGCCCGTGGTCGACATCGGAGAGTCGTTTGAGGACCTCGTTGCTGGCTGCAACAAACTGATTCGATTGAATCCAACGGACGAAGATCAGGCGAGTTGAGTAACACAGATCTATCGTTTTCTCTGGCAGCCTAGATCGCATTACCAATTCAGACCAATTCATCCAGAGGCTTAGTATGGCCTGATATGCCCTGGTATGATTTGGTAGTTTTGTTATATCATATTATATTATATCATATTATATTATATTATGTTATATTATATTATATTATATCATATTATATTATATTATATTATATATAATTCATACAATATGTTTCTTGACACGGATCAGTGCATCTAGTCAGTATGGATCACTATGCTCTTTTTGCCGCGCTCCAGTTGCATGGTACACGCTTAATCGCCCACTCTAGGATTCTTTGTGCAGACTTCGATATTCTTTGGTTTTCGATATTCTTTGGTTGAACGTATGCAGCGCATGCAGCATATGCATAGGCAAAGCTCGATGCTGAAGCTCGCGTTGCCGATGATGACTTGGAGCCAGAGGGAGGTGCTCTGCAGATTTCTTCCCAGACATTCCCAGACTACATGCCGTCTATGCACAAAGAAGCGATTGATAGACCCTGTGATTGAATGCGTTTTATGAAGCCTTCGGTGTCAATATTGGTAGTTATGTTTAGCTGCAAGTAAAAACTCAAAATCAACAGAAGAGTATAGAACAACTGACACTCGGTCAGAAGATAACAGAAGTCAGAATATGTTCAGGGTCGCAGGGGTGCAGTTTTTCTTTGAAGCAACGTTATCCTGACACTCAGTTGAAAAGCTCAAAGCTTCCACGCAGTCATGATGCAATGCAAAAGCACAAAGTGCCTCCCTTTAGTTATAACACGGCATGATTTTGATGTGCGGTGTTCAACAAGGTCCTCATTGAACAGCAAACCAAGTTTTTTTTTGGTTTCACATATTTTCATCGGCTGTCTCTGCTTGTGCAAATGATTATTGATTGCTATGGTTGAATCTGCTTTGAGAGTTTTACAGCAAAAAAACACGAGACTAATTAGTTCATGGTTCATCATGGTTCATCGTTTCCATGAGCCAGCACTGACATGTACACAGTTACCTTGATCGCTTGTCGCTATTCGTTTGACTTGATCTTTGGTCACAGTACGCTGCACTGCCAGGTGACGTCAAAGAAACCAATGGCCCTCCTTAGCAAAAGAGCTCCCTCACCAGCTGGGCTTGGAATGTCTTGTACAAACCGATTGTACCATATTGTACCAACATTCCGAACATTCTACTCAGTATGACAGTTGCCATACAATATGGACAATGGGAACCTCTTTACATCTCTTTACAGCTTCGTTTTGCTTCGTACTTTTTCTTCTCGATTTCCCTGGGACTTCGGGTGTGCAGATTGGGTCCTCGGCTGCCGCCGATGATTGTGGTGCGTGTGCGAATGTGTGGAATGCACCTGTGAGCTGTTCATGGATCCCTTGGCATCCCTTGGCTGTATGCAGGTAACATCAGGTCACCATGCTGCAGTTTGGAAGCTCAAAGCATGCCTTCAAATGGTATATATATAATGTATTTCTCTTCCACTGGGGTCTATAAGATGTGGGATCCATGGTCCTTGCCAAAGCGCTTTTGGATACTCTTGGAGTTGAACCTGCGGGATATGATTGTGGACATTGTGGCTCAGAAGCTGCCTTTTCCGCACCGCGGAAAGTCCACCGCCGAAGGCAAGCGCTGCACTGAAGGCATAGCTGGCATAGCTTTCGATTGGGTATAGCACTCGAATCACACTTCTTGGCTTTGGAAAAGTTAAACACTTTCACAGCCAGTGAGAGGATCCTTAAACTTTAAAGACCGAGACAAATGAGACAAACGTAACATAAATATCATAAATATGATTTGATAACATCTAAACATACTGCTGACTGCAACACTGCGACAGGTGGACACCGGATTCCATGTCAACCAGCAAACAGGGCCAATGATTTGGGTTGCTTTCGAAATGTCAGTGAGATTGTTTGCTTTTGGTTAAGCATGAAGAGTCTCAAAGCGTCATCATTTCTATTCAATTCTCAATTTGCAAATTTAAATATCAATGTCAGAATGTTGTAAGAAGCCAAGTATGCACCATTGTCCAGGCGCAAAGATGTACAGGAAGCCTGCCACACGCCGCCCAGGGTTGGAGTGCCCAGTTTCTTCCATGGCCGTCAAATAGGAGCATCGTAAGAACATCCCTAAGAACATCGCTAAGAACATGGCTAAGAACATGGCAAGTTGCTGTGAGCCTGTCAGAATTATTCAAATGTACCATTCAAAGACGTCCAAAAGTCTTATCACGCGGTGCTGTTCCCCAACGCTTCTGCGGTCCTCCTTTTTGTCAGGAAGCATCATCAAGTGGCCCTCAGCGAGTGAATCATGTAAAGCACCATTATTAGCCATAGCTGCTCCAGATTGCTTGCTTACTTCTCTTGGATCATTCTGGCCTTGTATTTAAAAAATGATAGAAGCCACGAACCCGAATGCATGTTTTAAAAGCTCATGTAGAAGAAGGGTTCCTACAGAACAATGAAAAGCGAACAGGAGATGCTCGATCGCATCAAAAGCCACTCTTGCAGAACACTCTTGCTTGACACTCTTCTCAGACAATCGTGTGGGACACTCTTTCGTGACACTCTTGTGGCATACTCTTGTGGGGCACTCTTGTGGGACACTTAATGGGACATTCTTGTGAGACACTCTTGCCTGACACTCTTGCTCGACACTCTTGTGGCGCACTCTGGTAAAACACTCTCTCTCTCTCTCTCAATACTCTGAAACACTCTTGTAAGACACTCTTGTTGGACACTCTTGCTTGACACATCTAGAACACCTCGCAGTACTACTTTGTACTACAAAGCGTCCACACACTACCTCACAGTACTACTTTGTACTGCAAATCTTTGACAAGGCACTTCCCAGTATTACTTCGCACTCCAGACTCCACACTCCACACTTAACTCCCCACACATCCACACATCCACACTTCCCACTCCCCACTCCGCACTTCACACTCCACATTCCACACTCCACACTTCACACTCGACACTCCACACTGCACACTGGACACTTCACACTCCACACTTCACAATCTCCACATTTCACACTCTCCACTCCACACTTCACACTTCACACTTCACACTCTCCACTCCACACTTCACACTCCACGCTCCATACTCTACACGCTCCACCCTTCACACTTCACACTCTCCACTCTTCACTCCACACCCCACATTTCACACTCCACACTTCGCGCTCCACACTTCACACTCCACACTTCACACTCCACAGTCCAAACTCCAAACTTCACACTGCACACCTGACACTGCACACTTCACACTCCAAATTTCCCACATCACACATCACACTTCACACTCCACTCCACACTTCACGCTTCACACTCCACACTTCACACTTCACACTTCACACTCCACTCCACACGTCACGCTTCACACTTCACACTTCACACTCTCCACTCCACACCTCATACTGCACACTCCACACTGCACACTTCACACTTCACACTTCGCACTCTCCACTCCACACCCCACACCCCACACCCCACACTTAAAACTCCACACTTCACACTTCACACTCCACACTTCACTTCTCTCCACGCTCCACGCTCCACAATTCACACTTCACACTTCACACTTCACACACCACACTTCACACTTCACACTTCACACTTCGCACTTCACACTCGACACTTCACACTTCGCACCTCACACTCCACACTTCACACTCCACACTTCACACTCCACACTCCACACTCTCCACTCCACACTCTACACTTCACTTCACACTCCACACTGCACACTTCAAACTTCACACTTGTACTGCAAAGCTTGCACCAAATACCTTGCAGTACGGCTTTGTACTGAAAAGCTTGCACAAAGCACTTCCCAGTACTACTTTGTATTGCAATGCGTGCACAAAGCACTTCCCAGTACTACTTGTACTACAAAGCTTGCACAAGGCTCTTCCCAGTACTACTTTGTACTACAAAGCCTGCACAGAGTAGTTCCCAGACTACTTTGTACTGCAAAGCGTGCACAAAGCACTTCCCAGTACTACTTTGTACTACAAAGCTTGCACAAGGCACTTCCCTTTGTACTACAAAGCTTGCACAAAGCCCCTCCCAGTACTACTTTATACTACAAAGCTTGCACAAGGCTCTTCCCAGTACTACTTTGTACTACAAAGCCTGCACAGAGTAGTTCCCAGTACTACTTTGTACTACAAAGCTTGCACAAGGCACTTCCCAGCTCTACTTTGTACCACAAAGCTTGCGCAAGGCACTTCACAGCTCTACAGTACTTTGTATTACAAAGCTTGCACAAGGCACTTCCCAGTACTACTTTGTACTACAAAGCTTGCACAAAGTACCTCCCAGTACTACGTTGTACTACAAAGCTTGCACAAAGTATCTCCCAGTACTACTTTGTAATACAAAGCTTGCACAAGGCTCTTCCCAGCACTTCTTTGTACTACAAAGCTTGCACAAAGCACTTCCCAGTACTACTTTGCACTACAAAGCTTGCACAAGGAACTCGCCAGTACTACTTTGTACTACAATGGTTGCACAAAGTACTTCCCAGTACACACTACACACTCCACACTTCACACTTCACACTGCACACTCCACACTTCACACTTCACACTTCACACTTCACACTCCACACTTCACACTCCACACGCCACACTCCACACTTCACACTCCACACGCCACACTCCACACTTCACACTCCACTCTTCACACTTCACACTCCACACTTCACACTGCACACTTCACACTCCACACTCCACACTCTCCACTCCACACTCTCCACTCCACACTCTCCACCACACTTCACACTCCACACTTCACACTTCGCACTTCACATTTCACACTTCACACTTCACACTTCACACTCGACACTTCACACTTCGCACCTCACACTCCACACTTGAAACTTCGCACTCCACACTTCACACGTCACACTCTTCACTTCACACTTCACACTTCGCACTTCGCACTCCACACTTCACACTTCCCACTTCACACTTCACATTTCACACTTCACACTTCGCACTTCGCACTCCACACTTCACACTTCCCACTTCACACTTCACACTTCACACTCCACACTTTCCACATCACACTTCACACTCCACACTTCACACTTCACACTGCACACTTCAAACTTCACACTCCACACTTCACACGTCACACTCTTCACTTCACACTTCACACTTCACACTCCACACTTCGCACTTCCCACATCACACTCCACACTCCGCACTTCACACTCCACACTTCACACTTCACACTTCGCTCTCTACGCTTCACATTCCACACTTGACGCTTCACACTCTCCACTTCACACTCCGCACTTCACACTCCACACTTCACACTCCAAACTTCGCACTCCACACTTCGCACTTCACACTCCACACTTCGCACTCCACACTTCACACTCGGCACTTTGCACTCCACACTCCACACCTCACACTCCACACTTCACACTCCACACTTCACACTCCACACCCCACACTCTTCACTACACACTTCGCACTCCACACTTCACAATCCACACTTCGCACTCCACACTCCGCACTTCACACTCCACACTTCACACTCCACACTTAACACTCCACACTTCACACCCCACACTTCACACTCCACACTTCACACTTTACACTGCACACCTGACAGGGCACGCTACACGCTACACGCTACACACTACACACTTCGCACTTCACTTCACTTCACGCTCCACACTTCACACCACTCCACACTCCGCACTCCACACTCCGCACTTCACATTCCACACTTCACGCTTCACACTCCACACTTCACACTCCAAACTTCGCTCTCCACCCTTCACACTCCACACTTCGCACTCCACACTTCGCACTCCACACTCCGCATTTCACACTCCACACTTCACACTCCAGACTTCTCACATCACCTTTCCTCACTTTCCCCATAGACAGCGAGGCGACGTAAACATCAGAGAGCCGCGAAGCAGATTTTGCTCGAGTGCCACAAAGTCCCAGGCATGCCACGCGAAATGCACTTGCACAGGTCACAAAACATCACCTTGACTCGAAAACGACCCGCAAACAGTCCACCACCCCCACACCCCCAGGAAAGAAAACAAGAACCCTTCGCTACGCATTCGGGAAAACAACTGATTTTACTGCGGAAAAGTGGGTTCTGTATGGTTCTGTAGATATGTTTCTAAGAGTTTCAAGGAGTAGATTGTATGCCAAAGTGAATCGATGGTGTTGGCCAAACGTGCTGGCAAGAGTCAGATGCCAGTTTCGAACAACATGAATGAAAACCATGAAAGCTGAAGGTTCACATGTTTTTCTGTTTTGACGCTGGATAAAACCTTGCATTAAAGGAGTAGACAGGTTTGCTGGCAAATGTGTTGTCAAAGTCAAGGTCATATTATGTGAAAACCAATCACCAACACCTACCAACAATCGACCCGAGTTTGCTTGAAAACGGTGTTTTGGAGACAGTTTTTGCATTGCAAGAATTGCGATAGAAAGGGCGCAGTTTTGCCCGAATAGCTGCCAGGTTGTTTGGCTGATCAACGCACCTGGTATCTCTGCTGTCCTTCTGGTCTTGAACAATCTTCCAGCACTCTTTGTTTTCATTTGCTTTCCACATTGCTTTCCACATTGCTTTCCACATTGCTTTCCACATTGTTTTCCACATTGTTTTCCACATTGCTTTCCACATTGTTTTCCACATTGTTTTCCACATTGCTTTCCACATTGCTTTCCACATTGCTTTCCACATTGCTTTCCACATTGCTTTCCACATTGTTTTCCACATTGTTTTCCACATTGCTTTCCACATTGCTTTCCACATTGCTTTCCACATTGCTTTCCACATTGCTTTCCACATTGCTTTCCACATTGCTTTCCACATTGCCACATTTCCACATTGCTTTCCACATTGCTTTCCACATTGTTTTCCACATTGCTTTCCACATTGCTTTCCACATTGTTTCCACATTGCTTTCCACATTGCTTTCCACATTGCTTTCCACATTGCTTTCCACATTGCTTTCCACATTGTTTTCCACATTGCCACATTGCTTTCCACATTGCTTTCCACATTGTTTTCCACATTGCTTTCCACATTGCTTTCCACATTGTTTTCCACATTGCTTTCCACATTGCTTTCCACATTGCTTTCCACATTGCTTTCCACATTGCTTTCCACATTGTTTTCCACATTGTTTTCCACATTGCTTTCCACATTGCTTTCCACATTGCTTTCCACATTGCTTTCCACATTGCTTTCCACATTGCTTTCCACATTGCTTTCCACATTGCTTTCCACATTGTTTTCCACATTGTTTTCCACATTGCTTTCCACATTGCTTTCCACATTGCTTTCCACATTGCTTTCCACATTGCTTTCCACATTGTTTCACATTGCCACATTGCTTTCCACATTGCTTTCCACATGTTTAGAAAAAGATCCACACCTTGGTTCTAAGTGTTCCAATTGCGGTTCCAACTGATCTTCCTGTCCGAGGCTTGCAGCTCTGCTTGCAGCCCTATTTTGCGCCCAAGGCCACAAATTTGGACCAAGTCTCAAAGACATCCAAATACCGAAGGGAAGAAGGGAAGAAGGGAAGAAGGGAAGCAGGGAAGAAGGGAAGAAGGGAAGAAGGGAAACTCATGCGTTACACAAGCATTATGCCTTATGCATTTGTCGCATGGATTGCCTGCCCGTTGCCTTGCCTTACCTTTAAGTCGTGAATGCTGAAAGATGCTCAAAGATGCTCAAAGATGCTGAAAGATGCTGAAAAATGCTGAAAAATGCTGAAAGATGCTGAAAGATGCTGAACGTTTAAAGAAAATCACTTTTTTCATCAGTTTATATAATCATGTTGAGGAACATGTTTAATTTAATCGATTGTGTTCTTGATGTTTGCAGACTTATGCGGACTATCATGGACTCACATGACGGAATTTGGTCAATGCAAATGAGAAGATTGGATTCTCAAAAACAAGGCTGCCAAGGGGCTGCCAAGGTTTCTTGTCTGCGCAGGCTTGAGCTTCCTAGGTGCCTTTCAGGGCACACAGGCTCAGGCAGAAGTTCGCCCCCGGGGATCTGCGAAAACGGATGTCACAAGCGAGGCAGTGAACTCAAAGTGTCATTTTCAAATATATTTCCAAATTTCTGCTGACTTTGTTTGGTTTTTGATGCACAATTCAGGCTGCACTTCTTTCCGATGAGCCAATGGTTTGTTGTGACGGTGATGAAACCTGCTTGGTTCCACTGGTTGAATGGTTGTCTCTTCTCTCTTTTTCCAGACAATTATAAATCAAATTCAATACAGTTCATACAGTTCAAAGATGTTAGCTTTCGTGTGTGTGTGTGTGCCCGACTCAGACTCCGCTCAGGGCTCCAAGACGGCTCGGCATGCATCAGTTGTGGAGAGCCTCAAGAATCCAGTAGAAATCTCAGAGGTCGCCAGAGGAACACGTGGAACACACCAAACACACTGACCTTCAACTCGTTCAACTCCTTCAGAACGAGATTTGTGTGACTGTGACCTTGACATGACTACAGTAGGCATTGCTTTCGCTGTCAGAACAGGTCTCCTCATGAAAGTTACGCAACAACCTGTAAAGCCGCTTCAAACTTGTTGGATGAAGAAGTGAACCAGCAGAGCTTCGCAGTCCCAGCTCGCTAGAACATATGTCTGGTGAATTGTGGATGTAGAATGCTTGAAGATGCTTGAAGCATGTTTACGTAGGGCTGCGGATCGTTTGTGTTTTACCATGTCCCAATCTTGACCCAAACAGCAAATAATGGCCCACGTGAACAAGGTCAAAACTGTCTCTGAGACGATTGACGATTTCTATAAGGCGTGAGTTTGAATTGTTTGATTCTTGCTGTAGTAGGCTACGTACATTGTCCTCAGCTGCAGTTATATAGCTGTGGCGTTTTTGCCAACATGAGTTAAGTGATCTGGGTTCGGAAAAATGTTGAGAAATGAGCTTCCAAACTTGGCTTTTTCCAAGCTGGGCTTACAGCGGTTCTAAAAGGTTCTGAAAACCAAATGCAAGCACATGTAGCAAGTAGAACGGGCTGTTGCAGAAATAGTCACTATTGCGATAGATGTTTAGATCTATAGTATAGAGAAGAATTTTAGATATTTTTATTTTTTTGTGATTAGATGGGATTACAATTACAATGAGTTATATGGCTGCAGCTCAAAATGTAAGGTCCCTATCCATACCCCGGACACACAGCCGATCCATCCCCTTGATCCATGCCCTTTTGAAGAGATTGAATTCATTTGAGATCATTTGCCTCACTCCTTCGTTCAATACGTTCGGATCACCCCGTAGCAATCCATACCCGTTTTTTGAGCCATATAGATCAGATATGATCAGAGAAGCTACTAGTAGATTTGATAGATGTGAGAGATTAGATAGCTTAGATAGAATGGATTAGAGGGATTAGACAGAGTAGATAGCTCACAGAGCTTAGAAAGATTTGGTAGATTGAGAGATTGACAAACTCAGATTCAGTAGATTTAGACATAGATTAGATCAGATCAGATTAGATTCGATAGATCAAGGTCACTGTACCGCGCTCTAGCAAAGGTCTGACCCAAACGAAGGTTTCAAGAAGCCTTTCATGAGGATGGTTCAAATGAATTTGCAAGGGGCCGTGTTTGTAAAAACTGCTCTCTGACAGTCTGAACCACTCAAATCGTGTCTTGAAACCTCTTTGTCGGAGAAGGCTTTCTGATCAGACTGACATAGACTGACTTGAATGGCAGAGCAAAGAA